AATGCCATCCATTTCCCTGCAAATTCTATGATTTTGTCGTTTCTTAGTGCTGCATAATACTCCATTGTGTATAGCTGCCACAATTTTTTTTATCCACTCATCTATTGAAGGGCATCTAGGTTGGTTCCACAGTCTAGCTATTGTGAATTGTGCTCCTATAATAATAATAAAAATTAGGTAGTTTTGTTGTCCTTTTTTTATTTTTGATATAATACAATTGGGGCCTCCTCTTCCTTCTTTTCCCTTCTTTTTCTGAACCACTCAGTTATAAAAAAATTTAGGAGGCACAGAGCAGGAAAAAAAAAAAAAGTCTGAAGGAGATATGGTGGCCCAGAGCCCTGGAGCCCAAAAAGAAGTAGTAGAAGGTCTGCAAGGATGGCGTCCACGCTGGGGAACGGCCTGGCTCAGGGAGTTAAGGTGAAGAGGGTATGCATGTAAAGGCACAGGACAGGGCAGAGAACCAGAGGCCCAGTAAGGTGAAGAAGACAACTCACATAGCAAGCGAATGGCCTGGACTGCTGGAGCCAAGATGGCAAGCAGGACACCTCCACAGGAGAGTGTTGGAGGCCAGGCCCAGGAGGCCAGGCCCAGCTTCCCTGTGGGGTATCTGGGCCCATGTGGGCTCTGTGTTCAAAGGAGGGTTCCAAGTGTGGAACTACTGGAGTTATAAGCTTATTTCAAGAAAGCTGGCATCTTTATCAATTGAATTTTCCCATCTTTATCAATTGAATTTTCCAATACAGAAATTGTGTAGCTTTCCATTTATAAAAAAAATTATATCCCTCAATATGATATTTTAATTTTATTCTCTTGCATTTCTAAGTTTACCCTTAACTATTTAATATTTTCATTGCTATTGTGAATTCACAATATTGTGGCTATTGTGAATATGTTTTATATTGTGTGTTTTTGGTATACAGAAGACCCATTAAAGTATAATACTTATCTGTAATTAATTACCTTAGTGAATTGTATTACTAGTCTATTAGTTTTAGTAATTTTCAATGGATCTTCCTTGGTTAGAACTGCTTTTTAAATTATTCACGCTAAAATTGGTGCCATCCTTAAATTTTGTTAATATAAAATTGCTTAGTTCAGATTGCAAATGGGAGAAAGACTTTACAATGATCATTAATTAAACCATTTATCACATATCTACTGCATACATACAATAACCCTGGCCAAGTTACACAACCTAGATAATCCTGCTTCCTTAACTGTAAAATGCAAATAGCCAAAGAATCTACCTAAACTACCTATCTAAATGAGAGAATGCATGTAAGTTACTTAGCTTTGCACATGGCAAGTGCTCAGGAAATGTTAACAGTCGTAGTGACAAAGACAATGAAACCCTACAAACTGCCCTCCCCAACACCCACAGAACCACCAGAGAATGAGCAAGCCCCTCTTTGTTTTCCTTTTTTTCCTTTCAGCCACGTCTATAGTTCTCCTCCCACCTGCCCTCCACCCTTCATTAACCAGCCTACACACACACACACACACACACACACACACACACACACTCACACAGGGATCTGTAAGAAACTCTTTTTCTAATGTTATGATCCCCTTGCCTCCCACTTCATTTGTAATTTCTGAATCTTTCAACATCTCATAGGCTCTCAAGAAATACTTATGGATTCCAAACAAAATTAGAACACTGGAAAACACTCAGAACATCCTACTGCTGTATCAAAGTCTCAGTAAGTCAGTTCATTAATATACAAGCCCCACTCTACAATGAAATGTGAGGCAACCACTAAAACCATGACTTTAAAATTTTATTGAGTTAAACTTTAAGTGTCAAATACAATACTATTACATTTAAATTTAGAAGTGAAAATATATTCCCCCTCTCAAAATGCCTGTGACGTTCAGAATCATTTTCTGATCATTGCTCTTTGACTTTACAGAAATCATACCTGTTTTCTTACTGAGTTGTGAATTGGAAACATGCTTCTATTGCCTACTAGCCAAAAGTCTAGTTTTGTCAAGAGGTGTATAACTAAGTCAAACTGCACACCGTGAACTTACCCACTTCTGCCAAAGTCCTGATACAGGATTCCACTGAGGCTTTCTGTGCGGGGTTTGGCCAGGTGCAATTGTAAATTCTGAAGGCAGACTGCAGCAGCTGAATAAAAACTGGCTGGTGTGTCTGAAAACAAAAAGAAACAAGGTAAGTTGTACTAATAAGCCACTAACATGCCTCATGTGGGATCTACGCATTATCAGCAAGGTTCATCAAAATAAAATGCAATACATTTTTTTAACTTTCAGTGTTATTTAATATATATCTCATTCAGCCTACATTATTCTATACCCACTTCATGATCCACACTGTGCCAGACACTATAGAAAATCAATCATTTGCATTTTAACTATATTCTTAATCAGAAAATATGCCACTTCTTAAGCCAATGACATGAACCTAAGCAGTTTTTACAAATCCTTTTTTTATTCCCAAGTACAAATACAAAAGTGTTTTGGGTTTGGTTTGGTGGGGTTTCATATGATGGGCAAATAGAGAGGACAGCCGCTTTGAACTTCCATGGGGCTGAGGTCATGGCTCAGTGGTAGAGTGCTTGCCTGGCACACATGAGGCACTAGGTTTGATCCTCCACACTACACAAATTTAAATAAATAAAATAAAGGTACTATGTCCATCTACAACTAAAAAATAAATAAATAAAACAATTTCTTATATTTCTATAAAATTGTTTAAAATTTTTCCCTAAAGAAATATAATTGAAATGATATTTTTATAAGAGTAATATATAGTCACTGAAGAGTATTTGGGAACCATGGGAATAAAAATAGTCAATAATTTTTCAATGTGGAGATGATCAGTAACAATATTTTAAAGATAGAGTCATACTTATATTTGGAGGGGGAGTGGTTCCAGGGCCCTTCACAGATACCAAAATCCACAGATATTCAAGGCTTTTATATGAAATTGTGTAATATTTGCATACAACCTCTGTACATCCCCCATATACTTTAAATATCTCTATATTACTTCTAATACCTAATATAATATATAGGCTATATCAATGGTTGTTGCACTGTATTGTTTAGGAAATAATGACAAATAAAGTATGCATTTGTTTGGTCGAAATGCAATTTTTTAAAAAATATTTTTGATCCAAGGTTGGTTGAATCCTCAGATGTGAAACTAGCAGCTACAGAGAGAGTCAGTAGTATTTACTTCCTGAGTTTCTCTATGTGTATATGCATATGTATTCTTCTCACAAATTATAGTATAGAATGATATTATAACACAAATTTTGTGACCTAATATTACTTCATAAACATTTTCCTTATCAATCAACTTTCCCTTTAAAACATGACTTTTAATTGCTACATAATAAGATACTCTACAGATACACCACAATCTATTTAGCTATTCCCTTGGTGGACATTTAAGGTTTATATCAATTTTTGAATATTTTAAATACCTGGATGAAAATCTTAATGTATAAACCTACACTAATTCTTTTAGGATAAATGTCCAAAGTGAAACTATTGGATTAAAATGCCTATCCATTTAAAGAACTATGTCATCATTTCAACACTTGGCGTGTAGTCAACATATAGATGTGAAAGATGTCAGTCTGCTTATAGAGTAAGGAAAAATAACACAATTTCAAGATAGGGGCTCTTTATTTAAAATAAAGTTTGGTTCAGAAATAGGGATAATTTGAAAGAAGAATGCTTTTCAGAAAACAGCTGGGCACAGTGGCACATCCCTATCATCCCAGCAGTTTGGGAGGATGAGGCAAGAGGATCACAAGTTCAAAGCCAATCTTAGCAACTTAGTGAGTCCCTGAGCAACTCAGCAAGACCCTGTATAGACATAAAATATAAGAAAGGGCTGGAAATGAGGTTCAGTGTTCAAGTGCCCCTGGGTTCAATCCCAGTACAAAAAAAAAGAAAAAAGAAAAGAAATGTAGAGAACAACTTCTGAACCAGACTGTAGATTTTTTTTCCTACTCCAAGAATATAAATTCCTTGCAACAATGCTTCTGCTCTTCATTCAGTTACCTGGAGGCTGGTACTGTTGTCTGAGAAAGGAGAGCTGAAGAAGCCACTCACGATGCTCATGACTGACTCCGTGATGCACTTCTCCAGGAAGACGTCTGCGTGCTTCCTGTCTGTGGTGCTGTTGCAGACCTGGAGAGAAGAGCAAAACAACTCAGTATGCTTCATCCCATCTTTGCATCATAACTCAATACAGGAATCTTCTAAAAAATTGTCCTGAAATAGCTCTCCATAATAATTTTTATCCTTTTTAAAGTTGCTTTGATTAGAAACATTTCTGCCCCCAATCCATTAAAATTGTATCATTTTCCAGTAGCTCCTCCTTCAAGTCTGACTCATCTCAGCCAGGGATCAGAATTCCTTCACAGAATCCAAGCTGCTTATTCTTGATTGGCTTCTCCATTCTCTTGCACACCAACCTGTCCCCTAGTCCCCAAGGTTGATTCTCCTGGAAAACACTTTTCCTCCCATTCAACATGAGGAAGCCAAAGAAGAAATAGTCTTAAGTATAAGAAAGTGGTAGATGTAATCAATGGTGGTGTGTGTCTGCATGCACTTTACCCAAACTGGACAGGGCAAACAAAGAAAATATCTGGAGGGGAGACCAGAAAGGTCAAAGGAGATAAGTCAACACCCTTTCCAACAATTCTGACTTTCTCACCTACAGATGATCTGGGAAGCATGGAAAAGTACTTTTGTAAGTATTCTTCTCAGAGTAGGCTGAGCAAGAAGGCACAAAACTAGAGCTACAGACAGACCAAAAAGGACATCCCTGGAGCTGGGGTTGTGGCTCAGCGGTAGAGTGCTTGCCTCACATGTGTAAGGCAGTGGGTTCAATTCTCAGCACCACATAAAAATAAATGAATAAAATAAAGGTCCATCAACAACTAAAATATATATTTTTTTTTTTTTAAAAAAGGCCAGCCCTGCTTCCTGCTCTGTTCTTTACATCTGATTAAATGAGGCACAAACTGGCCATTTTGCCAACCTATAAATTTCAAAGTGTGTCAGGGTGGACAAGTTACAAATGCTAAGATGCATGATTTAAAAAAAAAACACATAAAAAGCACACAGGAAACATGGAGATAAAAAGGAGAAAGAGGAGAACAGAGGGTGTGAGAAGAGACTGAAAAACAGAGAGGGAAATAAAATTTAAATGTTGACAAACTGTAGTGGGTAAATATGGTGGCCATATGTTCCAGATGTTCTTAGGCAATCCAAATTTTTATGTGATTTTTGTCTTTTCAATAAGGTGCTTAAGTAAAAGAATAAGTAAATGTAATTTCATTTGATATTGCTTTAAAACTCTTCATACAAATTCATAAAAGAGAAAAATTCCTTTCTCAAACCATGTGTTCCAGTGTTTTCAGTTTAGAAAACAGAAGTGCTAAAGCTAGCAATTGCTGAATGGGGGAGACGAGAGAGGACAAGTTTGTATCTAAGCCCTTTTCCATCTCATTTTTTCCCCTCTATTAAATGGCACCCATCTGATGTTTTTAGAACTAAAAGGTTTTTAGTATAACTAACGTCATAGGGTTATAGTAGGAAACAGTACAATTAAAGGAAATAAATTACAAGTTATGTAATCCAGCTATTGTCCCAGTACATAACATAGTGTCTGGCATATACAAGATGTTCAATACAGTAGTCCCCCCTTATCCACAGAGATATATTCTAAGACCCCTGGTAGATGCTTGAAATCATGTACTATGGTTCATCTACCAAACCCCCATGTATACATATTTTTTCTTATACATGCATACTTACAAAAAAGTTTAAGTGGCAAATTAGGTGCACTAAGAGATTAACAACAACATAATAAAATGGACCAATTACAACAATATACTGGAATGAAAATTATGTGAATATGGTCTCTCTCTTCCCCCACAATCTTATTTTATTTTCACCTTTTCACTTAAATGCTTTCCAACTTCTCCTTGACATATCCTAATTGCCAGCATCACTACTCTTGTGTGTTGGGGTCAAGATTAAGTAAAATGAGCATCACTTGAACATAGGCACTGCAACACTGCTACAGTGGATCTAATAACCAAGGGGTCTACTAAGTGACTATCAGGTAGGTAGCATATATGCCATGGATAGGCTGGACCAAGAGATGATTCACATCCTGGGCCAGAGGGCATGGGATGACGGACGACACAGGACGTGTAAGATTTCATCAAGCTACTAAGAACAGCATGCAGTTTAAAACTTATGAATTGTTTGTTTCTGGAATTGCCCATTTAATACTTTCAAATTTCTGTCACCCTCAGATAACTGAAACTGCAGAAAGTGAAACTGTGTATAAGAGGGGACTTTTAAATGTTTGTGAAATGAATGAATCAATGAACTAATTTTTTAAAAAATAACTAACGACTCTTATTTTTTGTTTTGTTCATTAACTTTGAGCTAGGCTATCGTTGTGAGCCACTCTAACCTGGGATTAACATTTCATGTGGTCTCAGAACTGATATAAAATTGATCTTCCCAAAATGGATATGAATTAGGATTTTGTTCTATTGCTAACTTTCTAGCACTGGCTTTTACATTGAACTTTTCTGATATGGAGGATAAAACTGTCTTAATGTTGAATTTGTAGCAGACCAATTCTGGCTTAACCAGCAAGAGTGACCTTCTTCATTCATGATACAACATGCAATCATGTGGAGCTCTCTGGAATTATGAGAGTTATCACACTGCATTATTTGCAACTGGAAATTTGCCAAAGCACCACCCAGAAATTTTCCTTTCAGTCAATAGAGTAATAAAAGTTATCTATTTCTAGATAAAAGTCTTTATTCAAAATCTTGAATAGTAAAAACTCATGTTTACAAAATGGTGCAAAACCTATTCTCTTTTCAAGCTATTTTTTTCCTGCCTCATATGAATGGCATCCCATACTTTATTATCATTAATAGCCAAGAAATGTAGGAAGCTACTTTTCTTTTTTTAATTTATTTTTTAGTTGTTGTTCGACCTTTATTTTATTTATTTTATATGCAGTGCTGAGAATCAAAACCAGTGCCTCACATATGCCAGGCATGTGCACTACTCCTGAGCCATATCCCCAAACCCAGGAAACTACTTTTCTTATTAAAATCTTTTAAGAAATTTTCAGGGGACATGAAGATAATAAATAGGGTAATATTTCCTTGTCCTCTCTATTACTGATTTTTATTACCTCTTTACAACAAAGACCAGAAATGACTCAAATACAATTATATCACATTAAATTATCTTTTATGTGTTTTACATATGTTTTCTCAAGTTTCAATGGCTTTCATGTATTAATGACATAACATTATTTCCTATAAAACATTTCTATGTACTGTCATTACCTAAAAACTTGTTTTAAAAGGCTATATTTATTCCATCATTTTAATGTATTATCATGCTTTAATCTATTTTTGGAATGGGCTGAGGTATACATTACCAAAAATTACAAATCATTTTCTTAGTTATTTCCTTCTTGCTAGTCTTTTATGTGATTTCTTTTATTTTTTTATTTATTCATTTTTATTTATTTAGGCTATCACAAAGAATTATGCGAGATTACCAATTTTACTTTCAGATTTTTGGGTATATTTCACCCAAGAACGAGTCAAATGAGGGTGAGTAGACAGTTTTATACTACTTGTTGGGATGATCCTCTAAATAAATTTACGATGCTATCAACAATCATGGGTACATAGGATGTCCCTACATTACCATCACTAGCTCTAGCCTTCAGGTTCTGGTTGGGTTTCATTACTGCAGGGCACTGTCGGGAGATCACAGAGTGGAAGAGAAAGAGGTCAGGTACCTACCCACCTCTGCTCCCATGCCCACCTCCCTTTCCCTTCTGAGACTTCCATGTTCTGGGGACCCACCTCCGACTGGAGTCCATCTTGCATGTCTGCAAACTGCCCCCTGACAGGAATACTGTGCTGCCCACTGCCCCTTCAGGCCCCTAGGCAGTACCAGCTTTGTCTTGTTTCCGGTTCCTGGTTCCTTCAACCCTACCCACACCTCTCACAGTATGCCATTTGTTTCCTACTGAACAGACTGCTACGCCTACATATTATAATAATTATTTTGTCAATTTAATGATACCTAAAAGTTATTTCATTTTGTATTTCATACATTCTTAACAAGGCTGGGTACTTTTATGTCATCATTTCATTTCTGTTTTCTGTCCTATACAAGTAACTCAAGCCCTGGAAACCACTTTCCAACAACCTGGATAATGACTGTACATTATATATCAGTTTAATAGACCTTTTATAAGCTCTTTTCAGAGTGTGCACTCTGACTCTTAGAATATTTACATCGTTATGTTTCACTGTGTAAACTAATTTTTAACATTCAAGCCCTACTACTTATTTTGATCAGACCTATTTATTTAACATCAAGAACACAAAACCTCCCTTCTTCAAAAAAAATTATAGTCTATACATTTTTATTCTAGTTTTTAAACTCTTTATCTGCATTTTGCTGCTGTAGGTAACCTAACTTGCAGAAAATGCTTATTTTTTCCCCATACTGAAACTCACCTACCTTCCAATATTGAATAGTAATTTCTTGCCTCCTCCTTAGGTGGCTTCAGGTTGGTCTTACAATATGTCACTAATTACTTAAATCTCTCTCTAAATTTTATATGCACCAAGGATTTTCGAAATATCTTAATCCAACTGCATAAAAATAAAAGATTCTCAGTTTGTAATGTGTTTTCCAGCTTGAAAAAAAGGTATCCACCATCATTACCTTTCCCAGGAAAACAAAATCTACCTTTTGAAATATTTGTCCTCTTTTATTTCCAGATGAATTTTATTGTATATTTGTCGAAATTCATGATGTATCATACAGCTTCTTGAATTTTTAAATTCAAGCTAAACATTGGATTAGGAATTCGAATATCTGATTAAACAAAATAAAGTCCAACGTCTACTAGAGACCTTATTTCAATCAAGAAAGGCACTCTGCAGACAAATTAATAAATACAGAACGTGTGAAGTGGTAAAAAAAAATCAAGAAAAGAAAAACAGACTATAGAGAAAATAGAGAGAGGCAAGTGGTATAGAGAATGTTTCAGGAGGGATGATTATGTTGAGGATTACAATTTATTTACATTTCTTACATAACATCTCATTTTA